ACACTGACCACCAGGGGGCAGATGTTCAATCCGGGAGCTGCCCTCGGTGGTCAGGGCGCTCCCACAGGGGGAACTCTGCTCAGCCACAAGCCAGTCTGATGGCTGCCAGCACAGTGGTGGTGGTGGGAGCCTCTCCCTCCTCCTCAGCAGCACTAAAGATGTCCAACTGCAGCTTAGGTCTGCTCCCTGCTGGCAAGTAGACATCCCCCGAAGGCTGCTGGGCTGCCAGAGGGATGTCTGACTGCCAGCTTGGGCCCGATTCCCTAGGGAGTGGGCCTAAGCCAGCAGGTGGACATCCTCCGAGGGGTCCCAGACTGCAAGAGGGCATAGGCCAGCTGAGGGACCCCCCTAGTGCACAAATTTTTGTGCACCAGGCCTCTAGTGTAAAATATAATAAAAGTTGAAAATAAAAAGATATACATAAAGAAAATATATAGTATAAGAGCAAGGAAGTAAAGATGCCTATTCAGAAAAGAGAAGATACAGAGTTACTGAGCCATACCATTTAATCCTGGGCAGGCATTGTGAAGGCTTACTTTCTAAAGGATGGAGGCATTTCTTGAACAATTCAGTTTCTTCTCTTTAGGATGCTCTTGTTTGTCTGTTATCCTCTAGCAACAGATCTGAAGTGGATATAGGAGTGTGTGCCAGCTCTCGAGTCTGTCTAGCTTTCTTAGTTTGTTCCTGCTGCAAGTTTGGGGCTTGAATATTTTTTGAAGTTGAACATACAAGACTTTAAGAATGATTGAATAATGGGGTTGGAACATACAAGACTTTAAGAATGATTGAATAATGGAACATACAAGACTTTAAGAATGATTGAATAATGGAACATACAAGACTTTAAGAATGATTGAATAATGGCCTCCCTCAGGGGAGGCTATGCTGAATAAAGTTATTTCTGGCCTCAGGATGGTAGGGACTCTACTTTAACTGGTGGTTCCCATATTTGTAGTTTATGGTGATGTCAGTGAGCACAAGTAAAGAGGAAGTGGAGGATTGTGGAGAATATTTTTATGGGTCAGGGCTGGCAGTAGTGTACACCACTTCTGCCCATTACTAGAACTTAAATTACATTTCCAAATCTAGTCCAAAGGAGGCTAAGATACATAGTCTAGTTGTATACCTAAGAGGAAAGGAAAACTGGGTTGGTTGCAACTAGATGGTTTCTCCTTTACCCCACTTATCTGTCTATCTAAAACTGTATATCTCAGAGAATATATATTAACTGTAAGTCCATGATACATTTGCAAACATAATTCATGTAGTAAGCCACAAAGTCCAAGAGATTTATCTAAGGAGTGATTGACATCATAGCCACATTCTCTCATAAAAATTCATCAAATTAGAAATCAACACAACAAAAAATGATGCTTAACCTCCCTTACTTTCTTTGACATTAAGAAACACTCTGGTTTTGAAAAATAAAAAGAATGGAAGTTATGAATTATATAGAAACTAGAGGCCCAATGCATGAAGATTTTTGCATGGTGGGGGATGGTGGGTCCCTCAGCCCGACCTGCACCCTCTCCAATCTGGGAGTCCTCAGGGGAGCCCTCTCTAATCTGGGAGTTTCTGTCTGTCTTTGCAATCATATGAATGAATTGTCTGAGACCCCCAACCCAGATTTGTTTGTTGCTTACAGAATAATAGAGGCATTTTTTTTCTTTGCTTCATTGGTGGAGATTTCCTGGAAGTTTTAGGATATCTTCCCTTTAATTTTTCCTAGACACTCTGATTTTACTTATGTCTCTCACCTTTGCTTTCCCTCCATCCCCCACCACAACAGTAACTTGCTGCAGGCCCACTTTGATCTAATGTCTAAGAGATCCATCTGCCACCAGAACTACGATTCCCAGCATTCCTGGTGCTCCCTGCGCTCTGAGGCAGCCATGTCCCCCAAAGCTGCCGGCTCCCCTGCTCTCCCGCTCTGCTCTCCATGCAAATTAACCTGCCATCTTTGTTGGGTTAATTTGCATATTCACTCCTGATTGACTGGTGAGCATAGTGGAGGGATGGTCAATTTACATGTTTCTCTTTTATTATATAGGATTGGAGGAAAACAAAACTAATGCTATGCTCTACAGAAAATTTATAGCTGTAAAAGTTTTTATTCAAAAAACCTGAAAATGAAAATAACAGAATAAATCTTCAAATAGCTTAATAGCTTTGTCTTTTTTCAACTGCATTTATTGTAACTACCTAAAGCCTTTTCTGTTTGTCAGTAATTCTTTTCTTAGCAAGTGTTTATTCTTTTGCTTATGTTTCTAAAGCAATTTTAATTTTATTTATTGTACATCACAGGCTAATGTTTCTACTTTTTAAAACAAAATTCTTTCTGTTCAGTTAAAGCCATATGATGGAAGAATACTATAGAAATGAATTGGTGGAATGAAAAGGGAGATATAGTGGACATTATTGTATATACTTGGGAGTTGTTAAAATTTTTTTCTTCTAGAATCTGATTGAAGAAGGAAGAACATGTTCTATAAAAGGTGCACCAAAATCTACAAAGAAAATCTTTAACAGTAAGTAAATTTTATTTAAAAAAAACACATTGAAATGGAAATCAGTTCATTTAAAAAAAATTTTTATAAATGTTTTGCCAGCTAGTACTTTTCACAGTTAACTTAGAATATAGTAGTAGTTCAATTGACCTTTTAAAGTTTTTGGTAAAATATATTACACATGATAAATACACACTTTAACAAATAAAACAAATATCTTTGTACTTTAAGAAATAATGCATAACAAATACTTTTGAAGAGCTTCTCAATTGCATTACCTCTTCTGCCCCCTAGAGGTAACTATTATCCTGACTTTGATTTTGTGATACTACACACACTTCCATTGCTTGGTTTTGAATTTTCTACAAATTGAGGTAAATTCTATTTTTTTGCAACTTGCTTTTTTCTTGTTGTTGTTCATCCAGCACTATATTTTTAAGTTTATCTACTTTAAATTTGTGACTCTAGTAATTTAATTTATTTAAATATATTTTTATTGATTTAAGAGAGGAAGGGAGAGGGAGAATTAGAAACATTAATGAGAGAGAATCATTGATTGGCTGCCTCCTGCATGCCCACACTGGGGATCGAGCCCACAACCTGGGCATGTACCCTGACCAGGATTCAAACTGTGACCTCCTGGTTCATAGGTTGATGCTCAACCACTGAGCCATGCTGGCCGGGCTCTAGTAATTTTAATATTTGTTTACTGCTATACTGCCTTTTATTATATAAATGTACCATAATATACTTGTGCATCTTTTGGCAATGATTATTTAGGTTGTTTTGAATATTTTGCCATGATAAACAATGCTACTCTGGTAATTCTTGGCATTTCACCTGCCACACGTGTATAAAAGTTTCTCTGGGGTATAGTTCTAGGAGTAGAATTGGCTAGTTCATGTAATACGCACATCGTCGCCTCTTTAGGTAATACAAAATTGTTTTCCAAAGTAGTTTTGCCAGTTTAAACTTCCATTAGCAAGAGATCAGAGTCCTGGCTGCTACATGTTCTCACTTAAACTGGGTTAGTTTCTTTATCATTGTTAGCATTCTATCTCATTATAATTTTATTTTATGTTTCCCTATCATTGTTAACCGTTTGACTGCTAAGGAGCGCTATCGCGCTCTTCTAATTTAAAACAAATTTATGTAAACAATTGGTATTTTTTAATTTTTGTTGTTGCAAAGCAATACAAGTGAGTTTATTGTATAAAAAGTGTTTTACATTTTTTCCCATACACGCGCAGTTAGTGCTGCAGTTTTGGCATATGTCCGAAAAAATACTTCAGCAGCCAAACGGTTAATTAGGTTGATTGGCCATCTATGTGTTATCTGTGAAATGCCTTTCATATCTGCTGCCCATGTTTATTTTAGGAATTTTGTTTCTCCTTATTAGATGTGTCTTTTTAATATAACTCCGTGTATGTATGCTATATATATTTCATATATCATAGATACTAATTGTTTGTAGGCTTGTGTGTAGCAAATACATATCTGAGTGGTCTTTTTATTCTGTACTGTCTTTTTATGGACAAAAGTTTAGGACACTTTTTAGATATTCTTTGATAGAGGGAGTCTTTAGAATATGTAGTCCTGTAGGTTTCCTAGAAATCTTTATGGACTTTTTATTTTTTATTTAAGTTATGACTTTGTAAAATATTACCTTGATTTCTATCCCTGTTTTGTCTGCCTTATTTCCTCTGTCTTATATGAGTAACTGTATTTGTTGGTTATGGTTTATTATTTCAGTGGTTTTTTTAAAATATATTTTTATTGATTTCAGAGAAGGGAGAGAGAGATAGAAACATCAATGATGAGAGAGAATCATTGATTGGCTACCTCCTCGTGCCCCTCACTGGGGATCAAGCCCGCAACCCAGGCATGTGCCCTTGACCAGAATCAAACCCAGGACGCTTTAGTCCGCAGGCTGATGCTCTATCCACTGAGCAAAACCAGCTAGGGCTCCAGTGTATTTTTTTAAATAAGGCCTAAAATATACATAAATACACATGTACAGATGTCTTAGTTCCTTGTCTTTCTCACTGTAAATGTAATATAGGATATTTTATTTAATATAGAATATTTTATAAATGAATTTAATGGATTCATTTATTTAATAAAATACTTTATAGATTTCTCCATAACTAAACATTTCTTCATCCTTTATTTATGACTAGAGGCCCGGTGCCCCTTTCCCCACTGGGACCCTCCTCATGTGGCGCCAGTCTCGGGCAGCGCACTTTGGCCTGATCCATGCGAGCAAGACTGAGAAGCAGGGTGAGGGGCGCAGCCTGGCCACCTGTGTGTCCAGCTCCTTTGCTCTCTGAGTCCCGGCTCTAGCGACAGCCACCTGGCGCGCTGGGCTGGAGGATACTGCTCAGGAGGCCAGGAAGGCAGAGGAGAGAAACCCTGTAGACCTGCTGCCTGACCAGTAGCCCAGGACCCCGCATCACCAGAAATGGACCGGCTCAGAGCACACTGAGCTTGGGGGCAAGGCAGCTGCCTGTGAGGGGCCTTGCTACCAGCCGGCTCCTGGTGGATGGCACCTCAAAGGAAACTCAGTTTTTGGTTCCTTAGTTCAGTCTATCACAGCTAAAGAGGAGCAGCTGGGCACATTTTAGGGGAGAATTAAGACTAAAACAGTGTGTTCTGTTCTGTGGAGATTGCTACCCAGTTGTCTTAGGCCTAAATTCAGGGTGATTGTAGGGCCTGGCTCTGCCACTGGGGCCCACATCTTTCAGTTGGCCTGTATTTGTTGTAAGGGCCCAAAGAGAAGAAGGGGAATAAGTTTTTCGATGCAATGGATTTGACCAGTAGACAAAGGAGAGTGCTGGGCTGTGTCTAATGTACACACAGAGACACCAGCTCTGAGTCTGCCTGGCCAAAGGGAGCTCAGGGCCTGTTTGCAGAGCTTTTGGTGGTTTCTGTTTCCTTGCTGAGGCCGTCCTCCCTGGGAAGCCTGCGGCCCATGCTCAGCTCCAGCTCAGTGGGTCTTCTCCAGGCCCCTCTCCCCTTCCCCCATGCTGGCCAGCTGGACCCCACTCATGCACAAATTTGTGCACCGGGCCTCTAGATTTGTTACAATGTTGCTTAGATGCTGTAGGAACTTAACTCCTGTTTATACCAATTAGCCTATGATAAAATTGGTTTATAGTTATATGTTTGTTTTCACTTAAAGTTGCAGAATCTATCAACGACGTTAAGTGCGGACTTAATGTACATTGTGGTTTTTTTTAATTTCAAGAAAAAAGACTTTAAATATAATAATGTTACATGTAATAAATCTTAATATGTCAAGAAAAACGAACTTAAATATAATGTTACATGCAATAAACATTAATATCTCAAGAAAAGCTATTTTAAATATGACAATGTTACATGTAATAAACACCAATTATTCAAGAAAAATGATCTTACATATAATAATATTACATGCAATAAATATTAATATGTCAAGAATAAAAGGATTTTAAGTATAATAATATTACCCAAACTGTACTAACATAGTATGATATCAAAAAAGTTGTAGGAAATGTTAAAAATT